AGTTCCCCATAATGGTGCGCCGTAAGTCCAAATAGGCTTCAGTATTGTCTTGTATACTAGGAGTTTACTTTCGGTAGACAGTTCTGACTTTCTGCCAATTAGCCAATGCATCTGACTAAATTTGTTGTCCAGTTGTTGTCTTTTGGCGATAATGTGTGTGCGCCAGGTCAACCGCCTGTCCAGGTGAAGGCCTAAGTATTTGATTGATTCCTCTTGTGGTATGCATGTTTCATTTAATAGTACCGGAGGGCAGGTTCCGTGCCTCAAAGCGAAGGTGATGTGCATGGATTTAATTTCGTTGGCCTTAATTCTCCACCGCTGTAGCCATTCTTCGAACTGGTCTAAGTGCGTTTGCAGTATCCGGGATGCTTCAATAAGGTTCTCATGAGACGCTAGTATTGTTGTGTCGCCGGCATAGGTGGCAAGCATTGTTTGTCCGGTTTCTGGCAAGTCAGCCGTATATATGGAATATAACATAGGCCCTAGGATACTTCCCTGCGGAACTCCGGATAAGACAGTGTACGATATAAGTCCGTATAAGCTTCGTCGTATTTAACTAAAAAAGTTCTGTCGGTAAGGTAGGACTTTAGTAGGGAATACATTGGATGTGAAAGAGCGCACTTAAGCTTCAATAATAAGCTTGTGTTCCATACTTTATCGAAGGCTTGGCTTATATCAACACATACAGCTGAAAAACCGAAGTGAACAGAGATGTTCATGGAGGTAGGCCTAGGCCCACTGGGGCTGTAGTGCCAAGGGGAAAAAAAGGTCATCTGGCTAGGACAGTAATCAGTGGGTTATGGGAAGGGCAATGAATCTTCGGGTTGCATAACATGCTGGGAGATTCGTGAGTGGTTGAGCGACTTTTGGTTTCCCATGGAGTTAAGTGTCTGTTATGTTTATATTAAGGTACATGCAGTATCGTGTGTAGAGGCTTCGTAATAGAGGACATCACATCTTATCAACCACATCTCCACACTTCCGTACGAAGCGTAATCTGAGGTCTGCTCAGAGATGGCGGAGCGTGTGTGCTAGTGTGGAGACCGAGGCTTAACGTCGTCTCCCACGAATAAAATTCACAAATAGTCACTCGTAAACAATTTGCTTCATATAGTACATACATCCACATAGAAATAGAATAAATACTCATAGAATAGACATGATATTATAGCGTGTAGGCCCGTTGCTGCGAAACAAATAACGAAACAACATCCGCTGCTAGGCAACAGATTCTTAATAAGCGGATATACACAGTCGTTACTGAGTAACGCATTCGCAAATAAACACGTTCCCACGGAAACGGTTGGAGTACTATAATCCATGCCGAAACGTTATAAAGAGGACGATTAGAGCAAGAGTTCAGAGAGAGATTTAAGGGAGTCTCTGAAGAGAAGACTTGGTCGGTGCAAATGAGAGTCAGCAGGCAACGACGTGAACCCGGAAGCTGAAGAATCTCCACTGTTAGTAGCCGTTACCAGGGGACGGCTAGAGAAGACAGACTAAAAAGGCTTAACGTATGCTGTAGTAATTTGTAAAGTATGGAGATTAGCGATGGCGCTGTAATTAATTGTAGTCACGAGCCGTGTGTTAAAGTGGTCAATAAATCCAATCTTCAATCCAAAACGCAGTAGATATTCATCCATACATATGACGATATACTGAAACAAAATATTTCTAACTCGTTCGTGACCTGCTACATACGATAATTTATGTTCCTTCAACATGTTAACGCCCTACAGTTCGTTGCTATGGAAACCCGAAATTGCTTAGTGAAAATGGCAAACCTCATGTCTACAGAACGTACATACACTTTTTTAATTTCTAGTGGAGCGGGACTGAGTTCCTTGTACTACGGCCACTTCTGGCCTATTGTACCAGCCACAGATGATAGGTGAGGGTGATTGTGGAGCAATTGGTGGAATGAAGATTGGCAGGGGAAACCGAAGTACTCGGAGAAAACCTGCCCCAGCGCCACTTTGCCCACCACAAATCCCACATGTCCAGACCGGGGATCGAACCCGGGCCGCCGCGTGGGAAGCCAGCGACTAACCGCTTGAGCTAGAGATTAGCTAATGGCGATGACCTCGTGATGTTAGGGTTCACGTCCTTAGTATTAGCAAGCAAGAGGCTCGAGTTCGAATCAATGGTCTGAACGCAAAGTTAATGATGTTTTAGGCCTAAAGACAGGCCAATTCTCCGCCCAGGGGATATTGTCGAAGTAGTTCATAATATTATGGTCTTCCTCGATGGACCCTGAGCCAGCCAAGACAAGCTGAGGAACAGAGACATGCTTTGCATTATCGGAAATCGAACCTTGGTTGTTCATCTCGTATCTAATCACTTTATTACCTAGTGTACTCCGGCTCTCAAAAGAAGCAGTCGATCAACCGAATATTTAATCGGTATTAACTGTAAATTAATTAACTGCTGCTGAGTGTGGTTAGCTGCAGTCGGTACACTAGTTGTGCAGTGATTCCACGTGGCGCTGTGGGGCCAGTAATTACCAGAAGTGGCCTCTTATCTGCCGATCGTTACAGGAGCCCAGAGCTCGGCAATCTGCTCTGGTTGCGTTTGTTTCACAAACAGAGATAAGATCGCCTATCTGAACAGACAAAAACAGAAATAAAAGCTCGATGAACACACATAACAAAGATTAAGGTTTTCTTTGATGTGACGTCATGTAGTTTGATAGATATCCACAAACCGTCATTTTCTACCGGGCGTCAGGTTTACGCGTAAGAAATGAGAAGTCATCGAGAACTACACATCGACAACACGAATATTAGCAAGCGGACAAAGGAAAACTACTAACAAAGTAATATTCAGTACTTCATATGAAGCATACTTAAAAGTACCTTAACATTTAAAGACAATATAAAGTCAAAGTCAGAGTCACTTTACGACTGGTGGTTTTCCGCCAGTTATTTCATTTTGGCGCCAAGCCCTTTGAGGATTACGACTTATTTTTATTTTTGCAAATGAACCCTTGAGGTAATAGTCCTTATGTAGTTACCTCCCTGACGAGAAGATGGTGCTCTCTCTTGTAAATAGGCTTTGCCTTTTATCAAGTGTACGCATCGTCCGTATAACATATTATAAGTTATATTAGCCTCTATATTAGTCTGTACTGGGATGTGATCTCTTGTACTTTGGTATATAGGTATCGAAAACATCTTAATGTTCACATTCACTGCAATGAGAAACTCGAATTTTAATCTTCCTGGATGTAAAGGGTGACCGGCGCTTAAGGCTGACCTCACCGCCGTCTGTGAGCCGATTGTCTAGACAGTGTGGGAGCCTCGATGTCTCACAACTCTGTGGGCTTCCACCGGCTCTTACAGGGATAGCTTTACCTTTTACCTTTTTTTATATAAAATATGATCCTTGAATTTTCTTGTTCTGTTTCCCGTAAAATATTGATCATTGAGAATCGCACCCTTCTCAGTCATTCAAAGAGAGCCCCCTCCCCCAATTGGTAACAAATGTTGGCTGGACCTTCATCCCCTTGAGGGCTCAAGACATATGCTACCAACTCCACCCTCGAATAACGATATGGGGTGGCATTTATGCCTCCCGCGCAGACGGGTCTCAGTAAAATACATGCAATACTAAACACTGGTAACAAGTAACAGCAAGAACCTGTGTACTCTGTAGTGAAGTGGACATGTGTACGGGGACAGTAGTGGTTTGATGGAAAGACAAAATTCTGTATCATCCACACTCATACATCTTACACCAAATTAATTAAGCACTACGCCATGAAGGTATATGGAGGTATAAAAGGTAAAGTTGTCCCTTTGCGTAACTAATTAAGCACTGACCCATGACGGCGTATGGGGTAGTTGATGTGTAGATCCATATTTTCTTGACCTCGGCACTAGTTGGAGGTGAGTGGTCAGCTTCACGCTCCGGCCTCTTAATCTCCCGGGAAAAAAGACCTCGGTACACATTGGATAGGAGGCTGGGTGGACCTCAGGACTGATCTGGACGCTGTGGAGAAGAGAAAATTCTTAACCATGCCGGGACTCAAACTCCGACCCCTCTGTCGTCCAGCCTGTAGTAAGTCGCTATACTGACTGAGCTGTCCGTACTCCTTGGGGTGGAGGTATAACTCCACCATTCTTGTTCTTGACACTAGCTGGAGGTGAGTGGTCAGCTTCATGCCCCGGTCGCTTTACCTCGGGGAAAATCTCCGGTGCCTATTGGATAGGAGAGTGGGTGGGCTTTATTAGGCAACAAATTATCAAGCAACAACAGGAATAATCATGAAAAAAGAACAATAAACAACAAAGTAAGAAGTACACCAATTTAGAGAGTCAAAAACTATAACGTTGAACAAATCATTCCAATTAAAAATGTCTGTGATTTTAAGTCGTTTGTAATTTTAATTTTGATGTTAATCTTTAATCAATAGCCCCCCCCCACAGACACAATTTTGTCTAGAATAACAACGCAAAACCGAGAGGGTTAGCTAAGTAATAACCGTGTAGACTTGTATTCCGCAGGGGCTTGGTTCGAATCTGTACCGGGACACATGATATCCTGGCGGAGGCTTTTAATTGCCTTATTCAGTGTGTCCAATCAAATATCGGGTCAGTACGTCTACTGAGCTACAAACGCGTCCCTCCATATCCTTTCTAATGCAACGTTTGTCGTCCGGCAATTCGACGCTGCTGTCTAGCTACTGACAGGATCGTAAAAGATAAAGAAAGACGGAACAAATAACAACGTATCAACTTATGGGACAGAATATATAACACACTTAGCCACCTGAGGTTGACGACATAATGGTTCGAACTTACCGTGTTACGAACTAATTAATTCAGTACGTAGTGCAGAATAGTGACTTTGTCATTAATTTGATAAAGAGTTAAACAGCGGCATATAACAGGCGTGTTGCATACCCCGGGGAGGGATTAACGCAATCAGCGGAACGTTTAAGTAAATCGCCTCACTTAATAAAGAACTTTAATTGTCCTATATAATTGTACAACGAAAGTTTAAACTCCAATTTCCTTCCTTCCTGAAAAAAAAAAATGGAGTCAGAACTGTTAAAGTTGTAATCATAATTGAATCTTGTACTTCTGTTCAAAGCGAAATTAACCTCTAATTTTACTTTTTAACCATTGGTCGTGGTTTACCAATGGAATGAAAAAAAAAAACTTTTACTTTTTCCAACTCTCTCTCGTTTCCGACATAAACTTTTCTATCACACAACATGCCGTTCATTAGTGAAACTGTAATTAAAGAAATTTGTAACCACAGAATAACTAATTAAAACATGCATTAAACAATTTTTAATTAGAATAAATTCGAATGTTAGGCTTTGTAAGGAAGGTTGAATACTGTTTAATACCACCTTTTATTTTCCTGTAAACGTGTACACGAAAAGTAAGGGACTTAAAACAAATGGGTTCGGTTATACGGAAGAGCAAAGTAGTACCCGATAATGTCCATGTTATGGGAAAGATAACAGGGTCGATTGTGGAACAATTTTCTCTATTTTTACTTTCTCTCTTCCTGTTCTTTTAATTTCACCGTCCATTTGATACGTTCATTACGCTGTGAAACCTCGGTGTCGGAGATAAAAATAGGGCCGTTTTCTGGTGTTCGCTCGTGCGTTCGAAAGTTTCAACTCATTTGCTTCATGCAAGGAGTGAGTATTGTGTTTAGGCACGAGAATGGATCTTCCGCGCAGAACTAGAGACATGCTGTGTGTCCTGAAGTGATTCATTTGAAACGGGTTTCGGTTTGTTCGTGGGTAATTTAACGATGCTGGTGAGATTTTTAAATCAGTCTATTGTCACCACAGCACGGTGGTCCCTCAAACGGCCGAGATGCCCTGCAATACATCCGTAAATACTGACAGTTGTTTGGCAGAGATGAATTTATTTTTAATGTATTTAACGACTCAGTAATTCAGGTTACAGCGCGTCCAATTGCTTCCGATTATAGTGAAAAATGAATTGGAAGGGATGTGAAAAGGACCGATCGTGGCCTAATTTAAGGTAATATCCCTGCATTTGCCTAGAGGGGCTAAGAAGAACAAAGTAAAACCTCAGAGTAATTAGTGTCCCAGCCGAGGTTTGCACCAAGTATCTCCTGAAGATAAGTCAGACGAGTAGTGCTTGAGCAAACTTCCTTAAAAATATTGCATTGATAATAACTCCCAACTATTTGACATTATGGAGCTGAAACCTGTTGGAGAATCTGCCAGTTGTGCAGCTGCTCAAGAACTTTCCAACGTTTTATGGAACCCGAAGGTTCATTACCGTGTCCACAAGAACCCACCACTGGTCTCTATCCTGAGCCAGATCGATCCAGTCCATACCACCCCATCCTTTCTAAGATCCATGTTAATATTATTCACCCACCTACGTCTTGGGCTTCATGGTGGTTTCCTTCCTTCAGGCTTCCCACCAATATTTTATATGCATTCCTCTTCTTTCCCCCTTCGTGTTACTTTCCCTGCCCATCTTATCATCCGGGACTTGATGATTCTAATTATACTTGGCGAAGGGTGCAAGTTAGGAATCTCCTCATTATGCAGTTTTCTCGAACCTCCTGTCACTTCATCTCTCGTCGATCCAAATATTCTCCTCAGCACCCTGTTCTCAAACACCCTCGCTTCGCTTAATGGGGGGTGGAGTCCAACTGGGTCCACTCGGCACGGCGGCCACTGATTGGCCTATTATAGCCTGTCCCGGGTGATTAAGATGATGGAGAATTTGGTGGAATGAAGATTGGCAGGGGAAACCGAAGTATTCGAAGAAAACCCGCCCCAGCGCCACTTTGTCCACCATAAATCCCACTTGACCAGATCCCGGGATCGAACCCGGGCCGCCGCGGTGGGAAGCCAGCGACTAACCTCTTGAGCTATGACGCGACCTTTCAAACACCCTCAGTCCAAGTTCTTCCTTCAATTCAAGGCAGTATGTTTCACAAGCAAATATAGAGAGGTAAATTATAGTTCTAATGTAAATTGTGATCTTCATGTACGTATTTACACATCAGGCGAGTAGACAGAAGGTTCCGAACTGATTACTACCAAGCATTCCTCGAATTTAATATGACCTTAAATTCGTCGTGTATGTAATTTTGATTTTGTTAGTGTCGTTCCCAAGAATCTGGACCATTGCAGAAATCCCGACGGTTTATTCTTGCGCCATTTTACAGATGTCAGTATGGCATATGGAGTCTATCAGACGTGACATAGCGCCCCTCACGTCAGCTTGATGTACTATGGGTATTATGCTTGGTAAGGCTTCGAGTTTCTTACATGTGTCATGTAGTGGCTGGCGGGTCTCGGCGCCAGAATGCTGTGGCTGATACTTGGAGAACTAAGGCAGCACTTCAGTTAGCGACTGTGTATAAAGAGCTTCAAAGCACTGCCAGAAGTAAAAATAAGGTAATTATTGCATCATTGTAATTATTTACAAATTACAAACATTTTATTTGTTTTCAGTTTCATGTAGCCGGTCACGGTAGTGGAGCGGTGTAAGGCATGTACTGTCTTCTCTCGCTCGGAAGCTGGGATCTTGGGTTCGAATCCCACAGAAGGCATTAATGTTTGGTATGTGTATGTGTTTATTCTGTGTCTGTGTTGTCCTCTGTGTAGTTAGAGGCCTTGCGACGAGCTGATCACTCGTCCAAGGAGTCCTACCGTCTGTAATATGATCAAAATAAAAAAGAAACAATCTCGATACCATAAGGTATAAGAGGAACGGATTAAAGTAAAGTAAGTTCAATTTCATGTTCTTTCAAAATCAGAATACTTCATTGTCTTGACATCTAATCAGTGGTTGTGATTTAATTAGTACGAGTTTTCTGGTACAGTAAGAAATGTATACTTGGCACTGATTAGTTAATTAGTTAGATATAGGTATATTTGGGGTTAGGCCTAAGTGTTTTCTCCAGTATGTATGCAGAAGAGCGGGTAAATTTAATATGGCAGTCAGATAAATGTTTACATATTACGGCAAGGCAGATTAACATTAACAGTATTTAATGAATAATGTGTTTTAGGTAGTCCTACTTACATTCGGAGGGTATTTAACGACACCGTATATGTTACATAGTTCATTTAATGCTAGTGGGGTGGGACTAAGTCCCTTGTACTGAGGCCACTTCTGGCCTATTGTACCAGCCCCAGATGATAGGTGAGGGTGATTGTGGAGCAGTTGGTGGAATGAAGATTGGCAGGGGAAACCCAAGTACTCGGAGAAACCCTGCCCCAGCGCCACTTTGTCCACCACAAAGCCCACTTGACCAGACCGGGGATCGAACCCGGGCCACCGCGGTGGGAAGCCAGCGACTAACCGCTTGAGCTATGGCGCGCCCTCTTACATAGGTTACTAAGGACAGAATGAAAGGAAGAATTGTTATGCATAATGATAGCTATGGGCAACAATTGTGATCAGTAGGGGTAGGGTCGGTGTAATGTTGTTCTGCCGATGCTCAGTTCGAATCCTGAAGGGGACTTCAGCTGTCACGCATGGAATTTTTCTTTCAGTCCTTCCCCTAGAATTTCCCTACCTTGGAACTGGCAACTACAGCTTTCTTTCCAAACCATCATTCATTAGTCAGCCTACCTTTGGACGTTACATATTCAGAGATACTGATAAGGTCGTTAAATAAATAAATAAAAATTTGTGCTTATCATGAAGTCACAGACCTGGTAGCTACAAGCCTTAAACTACATAATCGTTTATCCCACTCTCTCTACTCATGTAACCGAACGTAGCGGTCAAATGGGGAGTAGACCGGTTTCGAATCTGGAAGGATCCGAGTTCACATACCGACCCGAAGACACACTATGTTGACTGGTATCCTCAGTGCTTCCAGGAAAATTCAAACATAGTACCAAAATGTGACCATAACTCCTTTCATCATATTTTAGAATTGAAATCGTCTCACCATTAGATGCTGCATAAGTTCAACTACTGAACTCAGTCACTCATGCAGCTGAGCTCTTTTTGAGAAGGCGTCAGTTGTGCAGTTATTCAAGAACTTCCAAACATTTTATGGAACCCAAAGGCTCATTACCGTGTCCACGAACCCTCCACTGGCCCCTATTTTGAGCCAGATCAATTCAATCCATCCCATTCTCTCTCTCTCAGATCCATTTTAATATTGTCCGCCCACCTACGTCTTGGTCTTCCTAGTGGTCTCATTCATTCTGTCTTCCCCACCAATATCCTATATGTACTCCTCTCTATTCGTGCTACATGCCCGTCCATCGTATCCTCCTTGACTTCATCATTCGAATTATACTTATACTTATGAAGTTCCTCATTATGCAGTTTTCTCCACCCTCCCGTCACTTCATCTGTCTTGGTCCAAATATTCTCCTCAACACCCCGTTCTCAAACACCCTCAGGCTGTGTACCTCCCGTAATGTCAGAGACCAAGTTTCACACTCATACAGAACCACAGAAAATTTTCAGCTACTGAAGGCGTTATTAAGCAAGGCAGATCGGTAAACATTCATGTTGTGGTCAGTTTGGTTATGGCATCGTATATTCTGATGTACAGTTACCAACTTTTCAGAGGATTCATCTTTGGTGATGACGGAGACAATATGTCTACACGGCGTCATAACACAGAAAACCGCAATATTGATATAGATTAAAGTTTTCCATCATGTTAGTAGATCATTAGTCTTCAGTGGGTAACATTTACCTTTTAAGGACGCGTTAATTAAACACGGCCAGGTTATATCAAGTGTGTGGTGTGTTCCATGGATCACGATGACATAGATGGAGTTTTATTTATTACTGTCTGTGATTGACGGGTGTTAAGAGTACAGTAGTGAAGAAAGTGATTTTAAGTTTGCTAATTGCTGCGTGAGAAAGAGAGCCAGAGAGAGAGAGAGAGAGTGAGAAAGTGAGGTTGACCGGGCAGCAACACCGTACATCACTTGTTTCATTAATCAACCAACCTGATTCCTTGCGGACCTAAAATCCCCGAATGTTACGCCGTGATAAGGTACCATGGAATTTCCATGCTCTCTGCGCTATCTGTGTGTTTCCTTCCATCATATCAGTGCATTTCGGATTTTTAACAAGAGAAAGACGCTCTAGTTACTTTATTCATTCAAAAGAGATAGGAAGAACAAGTTCCGAGCAGGAATCGTGAAACCTACTTTCTCTTGCATATATATCTGTCCCTTGATCTCTGACATTACGGGAGGAATATAGACTGAAGGCATTTGAGGACAGAGTGCTCAGGAGAGAATTTGGACTGAAGATGAATGAAATGGTAGGATGGGAAAAACTGCGTAATGAGCAGCTTTTTTAAAATGTAGTCTCCGCCAGGTGCTATTACAGTGATAAGTCAATGAGGAAGGCCGCGCCATAGCTCAAGCGGTTAGTCGCTGACTTCCCACCGCGGCAGCCCGGGTTCGATCCCGGGTCTGGTCAAGTGGGAATTGTGGTGGACAAAGTGGCGCTGAGGCGGTTTTTTTTCGAGTACTTCGATTTCCCTTGCCAATCTTCATTCCACCAAATTCTCCATCATCACAATCACCCCGGGGAGGCTACAGTAGGCCAATCAGTGGCCGCCGTGCCGAGTGGACCCAGTTCGACTCCACCCCCCACTAAGCGAATTAAGTCAATGATGATGAAATGTGCAGGACATGTAGCAAGCATGGGAAGAAGAAGAAGATGGGAGATCCAGAAGAAAAGAGACCACTAGATAGACTAAGACGTAGGTGGGTGTACAATATTAAAATGGATCTTAAGAGAAATAGGATCGAATATTATGGACTAGATTGATCTTCTCAGGATAAGGACCAGTGGAGGGCTCTTTTGAACACTAGTAATACTTTAATAAACCTTCGGCTTCCGCTACCGCTGCTACTGTTACTACTACTACTACTACTACTAGTTACTACCACTACTACTGGTACTTCTACTGCTACTACTGCCGCTGCTACTACCATTACTACTGCCACTTCCGCTACCGCTGCTACTACCATTACTACTGCCACTTCCGCTACCGCTGCTACTACCATTACTACTGCCACTTCCGCTACCGCTGCTACTACCATTACTACTGCCACTTCCGCTACCGCTGCTACTACCATTACTACTGCCACTTCCGCTACCGCTGCTACTACCATTACTACTGCCACTTCCGCTACCGCTGCTACTACCATTACTACTGCCACTTCCGCTACCGCTGCTACTACCATTACTACTGCCACTTCCGCTACCGCTGCTACTACCATTACTACTGCCACTTCCGCTACCGCTGCTACTACCATTACTACTGCCACTTCCGCTACCGCTGCTACTACCATTACTACTGCCACTTCCGCTACCGCTGCTACTACCATTACTACTGCCACTTCCGCTACCGCTGCTACTACCATTACTACTGCCACTTCCGCTACCGCTGCTACTACCATTACTACTGCCACTTCCGCTACCGCTGCTACTACCATTACTACTGCCACTTCCGCTACCGCTGCTACTACCATTACTACTGCCACTTCCGCTACCGCTGCTACTACCATTACTACTGCCACTTCCGCTACCGCTGCTACTACCATTACTACTGCCACTTCCGCTACCGCTGCTACTACCACCACCACCACTACTGCTACTGCTATTACTACTGCCTCTTCCGCTACCGCTGCTACTACTACCACCACCACTACTGCTGCTACTACTGCTGCTGCTGCTACTACTACTACTACTACTACTACTACTATTACTGCTGCTGCTTCTAATACTGTTATTTTATTTTTCTTTAGTAAATAACTTAGTTTATAAGTTTGTAAAGTAAAGTAAAGCTATCCCTGTAACAGGCCGTGAAGGCCCATAGGGTTGTGAGACGTTGAGGCTCCCACACTATCTAAGACAGTCGGCTCAAAGATGGCGGTAAGGTTGTCAGCCTTACGCGCCGGCCGCGCTTTACTCCCCAGAAAAGTATTTATTTAATTCGTGGTACTCATTTCTGTTAGAGGCTGAGTGAACCCCAGGGCCGGAAGGATTAGGTCAAATGAAAAACTTTAAGTTATAAATACATAAGATGAGTATTTTAAATTTGTCCGGTATGACCTCACAGTTTCAGATCAGCCCTAGATTCGTAATTGTGGAGTTACAAGCAACGTTTCATACGTAATGCACAAGTATGTTTCAGACCAGTCCCCGCCGAAAAGTATGGTGTAGAGGTAACTCTGTAGACTTGTGTTCTGGAGGTGCAATGCTATCATGACAAATTTTCGTGCTTTTCCTCAGTACCCTGGGCAAATTCCAAGGTACCTCGTTTAGGCCGCAATTGATTCCTTCCAAATCCTTTCCAATTCATTCTACCATCCGACGCTATATGAAAGCGTCGTTAAGTAACCCACAAAAAGTGATCGATGTCCATACAGAACGTTGGTAAATATCTACAAGACTACACGGCGTCACAGCCAAGCGGACAGTAATTTTGTTAGTCACCTTTATGGGAACCTCAGATCTCGTAAGCATTTGGTTTGTGCAGTCACCCACAGATCATAACACAGGCCTACAAAAAAAAATTTTTTTTTGGTGTCTAGGATTTTAGAACTAATTTTAGTTATATTTAAGGCGCTGAATCTAAATATAAAATCAGTTTTTCTCTACCAGCTCTACTTTTTTAGATCAGCGTTTTTGTAACGTGCAGTTCTACACAAAATGTGCAGTTCTAATTGTATTTTGTGCAGTTCTAAATCTCATATGCAAGGATTGGTTCCTGTATATTTGCCCTATTGTCAGTCTGCTGTCCACTGACTCTTGGAAAAAATGGCTCTTCCTGAATATTTTCCCGATGATTGGCGCCTATTTATTGACAGCTCAAAGCGAAGTTTGAAATGTGTCCTTCTACACAATGGAAACAAATATGGTTCAATACCAATTGCTCACTCCACGAAAATGAAAGAAGAATATAACACCATAGCTTTGGTCTTAGAGAAGATAAAGTATCATGAACATCAATGGGTGATTTGTGTGGACTTAAAAATGGTAAATTTTCTCCTTGGACAGCAAAGTGGTTACACCAAATATCCCTGCTTTTTGTGCCTCTGGGATAGCAGAGACAAAACACACCACTGGGTTAGAAAAGAATGGCCCAAGAGAGAAAACATGTACGTTGGGGAGAAGAATATCATTAA